TTCGTTGCTCCACAGAAGCTCAGCCTTTCAGCATTAATAGAACTGCATTCCAAAGGAGGAAGCAATGGAAGTTATTTGAATTATGTCACACACTAATTGCTGATTCTCTCTTTTGCTCCATCCTACTAAATCCCAACAGATTTTTTGTTTTGAGGACCATAGCTATGTAATAAGGAAACAACGATATTAATCATACAGACTCAATATTAGTCATATACAGAGACTTTCTATCCCCTTCTATTAAAAATTACTAGTAAAGATGAGCACTTTTAAGAGATGAATTCTTAATAAAATAATTAATATATTTACAAGTACTATTTTATTATTTATTAAATCAGGAAAACATGCAATTGGTATATTTTAAAAGTGTAATATCATTGTGCTTGAATAAATCCAAGCCTTTACTGATTTTAGCACAAAATTCTTTATTTAAGTACTACAAAACATAACTAGAGCCAGATGAGAAAAGCAGTTGAATACATGTAATACTACTGCTCCAGAATGTATCCCAATACAAGTAATTTCCACCACAAAGAATAAAACAGTAAACTATTTACAGTCACTAGGGGTTTTTTCCACTTGATATACATTCATTCTACGCCAGTGCTGAAATATTTAACAGATTATTATTAGCTCCAAATTTCATGAACAAAATAAGGACATTGTAAATACAGTCACGGATGCTCTCAGCTACAGATGCAGCTAAGTTGATGTTAGCACTTCTATTATATTCCATTGATCTCAAGTAGAAAACAATAGCTGTATGGAAAGATAATGATTTGGCTTCTTCTTATGAATAAAACTATTGGAACTCCAAAAAATATAAATTTCAGTCTTCTCTCAGAAGCTCTAACTATACAGCTTCAATATTTTATGGCTCCACCTAATAAGGTGAAAGAGTTAAATGGCTAAGTGCTATGAGTTATACAAAACTCTGCCACGCAATATGAGAAGATGTTAAACTACATTTGCAGATCGTTGTCATCACTATTACCAAACAGCACAGTATAAGAACACATTTTGTAGAGATCCTTTCCTATAACAGATTCTAAAGCACCTTACATGATTTAGTGAACTCAACCTGATTATAGTCTACATCTCTGTTTCACAGTTAAGGAAATGAAGATAACATAAAAACATAATTTACCAAAAGATAAATCTGTCAAAGCCAAGATGGAGTGAGATTTCAGATCATTTGGTTCCCCACCCTGCCCTTTAACTACAGTATGTTTGTTCTTCTGTTTAAAAACAGTTATGAAAAAGATTACTGAAACTATTCATGACAGGTTTAAAAATCAGTTTGAATTAAAACAGTTTTAAAGACAAAAATCAGCTCAGACATTTCATCAGCTGCACATGATTGCAGTTTAGCAACAGCAATGCCTATGCTGTTAGTTTTGTAGAACGTCTACTTTTTATACAGATCTGGCATGGTTACAGTCCCAGTACGAACGCAGGGAAGACAAGGAAACAAAAGCTACATCGCAATGCACATGGACATCCCATTTCAGGTCATTCTGCTGGGAAAGACATCTTGGTCAAAATGCAGCTGATGGGTGATTCGAACCATGATGCTACACAGAGTAGCTAGTTCTATACCAAACCCACCGAAGTCTAAATACCTATGAAATCTAAGTATCTATCTTCCTCTAAATCAGCTTTTCCTGAATAATGAATTCTTGTGTTGCAGTCCCAGGATCATACCTGAGTCATGATAACTAGCATAAGGGAAAGATCCTTATATTTAAATTCTAATTTTATTAGAATCACTGCCTGAATTTTCCCCACATCTCTAAGAGATAAGAAATTATTTCATATTTATATCCATTTCATTCTGTTGCTATTTCATAAGAACAAAATAGATTGTAAGAGTCAAAGAAACACAGTGATAGGTAATGGTTGTTGTTGATATGAGGTGAGATCTTTTATTCACAGCATAAACAACAGAGACAAAATCATAAACACATCAGTGTTCTCACTTCCTCAAAAGTGAAGTCTTATTGTTGACTTCATGGACTCATTTCATTTGACTGAAATTCTTTCTTCAGACAGCCTCAGATGCTTTACTGCACTATACCCCACTCCTGGATTCAGTAAGAGTGGTAGATCCAACACAAGCTTCTTGGTAGTATGCAACAGAGTTAGTACATACTCTGCTACTCTGTGTAGCAACTCAAGGGAAGCGGCTCATAGCAGAGCCTCTGGTTGTCTCCCAAAATTTCTTCATTGTTAATGGTGTACTGGCTAGTCCCAGAACCATAAAAACATTTATGTGTGTGTGACTAGAACACCATTATATCAGGGATAGCCTATCTATCTTTGTTTTATGTTTGGACAATAAATACAGGTAAGGGCTACCGATAAATTAGTTTCAAGCTTACGACTGGAAAGCAAATTCAACAGAAAGAAGCCTAAAGTTGCATGCCTGTCTATGCACATCACTCCTAATTTCAGCTCTAAAAAGCCTTGTAAAATGGAATGGAGAGTGGACTAGAAAAGAAATAATGAATAAATTCAGAATAGAAAGAGTACAAACTTATGAAAATTAACAAATATACTGGACCCTTCCTTCCTCCAAATTTAGCTGTATAATGCATTTTTGAGACAAAAAGATAGTATGAAGTTAAAAGACATTTTTTAAGAGGATCATTAGATTTTTTTTTTTTTCCCTCAAACTCCTTCCATATTGATATTTCATCTCAGAGAGCATGGATTTTTTTCTTTAGCCCAAGGAGAGCACTAAAACTGAAGCACCGCTCTGTTTAGATGAGGTCCCTTATAACCCCAGCTGAACGGCAAATTGACATTTAATCTTTAATGTAAACTTGTAATATCCTTATAATGAATAATATTCTCACCTTCTACAAATGGAAAACTAAGCTCAAAATTAAATGGTTCACCTAAAACTACAAATACTCAGAAAGGAAATGAACAGAGGCCTCCAGTAAGGTACACTAAAAACGAATAATCCTACCTATCCATTTTTATGAGAGTCCCATCTCTCTGTCTGTCCACCTATCTATCTAATTATTTGTCAGATTCAGGCTTCAGATCATGGTATATCTGTGGGGTAATATGATCTGTGCATAACTGAATGCTTTACCAGATCTAACATTGAATAGGAGAAAAGAAAGGACAGCAAAGGAGTTCCCAAAACTGTCAACTAAATTCACTCAAATATTGGGGACAGATTCTACCTACTGTGAAAATCAACACTCAGATGAGTTGATTAAACTACTTAATTTAGAAATTCAAAAGGAAAAATAATTTATTTGTGTAGTATAGTTATCAGTAAAACATGGTGAAATATCAGGGCTATATATCATCTGCTATCTGATATCAGGGCTATATATCATCTGCTATCTGCAGATGCTATCTGCATCTGATTATAGCAATAATCATTGCTATAATACAACAGGCTGCACTGATTATGTCACAGACATTTCATTGCAGAGCTATGAAGATACGACATAATGTTAAAATGTTTCTGTAAGGAGTAAGAAGTTGTAGACCTGAATTTTTCAACAGAAAAAGGCAGGACTTAATGTTTACAGCATGCAGATGGCAGATACTTAAACAACTCTAAATTTGCTATGGGCAGCTTCAGCTTGACACGCTGCACAGAACACATATACTGGTTGAAAAAAATATATTTTATAAGACATTAAGACACCCTAAACCCACTAAACTATTCTTGCATAATACCTGCTAAATCTTAACCAGGCACAAAAAATCAGAAGGAAAAAAAACCTCCAAGCTCATGTACCTTTCACAGTCATTATAAAATTACCTAAGTGAGACAAAGACTGAAAATTAACTCTGCTCTGCTCTTCTCTTCCACTCCCTGCTGCGAGTATGCGTGCTCCACACACTTCCTGTCTTCTCTATAACCTTGAGATCAGAGCTAGGGATCCTGTATTAGACAAAGACACTTGGCAAGACAGGAGCACTAGAACAACTCAGTCTCCGCAGGGCATTCTACCGACAAAATCCTACCTATAGCTTCTGCTAGCAGACCAACACCTGCCCTTTACCAAGGGCTATGCCTAAAACTGCAGTTTACTGTACAATGCATGACTGTATCTGTCATTACCATAGCAGCAAGGATTATAATCAGATTTTACAAGATTGTGCTTAAAAACATTTACTCCACATGCACAGATCACATGACAGTGACTATTCCTAAAAAAAAAATTATAAGATTATCAGTGAGATATTTGTACAGATTCATATCATACACATATGAAATCTATAGACTTACACAGGATTTAAGGATAAATTATTTGGTAATCTTCTAATCTCTGGCATTGTTCTCTGAAATACAAAGCACCCTAACTTCTCAAATTACTTATGCAGAGTCAAAAAATCAAGTGTTAACAAAAGTACATGATACTTCTAGCAAAGCTGACTTACCAAGGGCTCTGGGCTACTATAGAGCTCTAAAACACACATGAATCCTCTGGAAAGAATCTCCTTAATACACTGTTATTTTAAAACTCTACAGTTAATGGCTTAACTGAAGGAAGAGCACATCACCAAAAGTGAACTAAAGGCAGAAGAATGGTTCTGTTTTGATTTTTAAGTGGAGTTTAAAAAGCTAACAACTCACTAGCATAGTGCAAATAACAGCTTTTCAAATTAAAATGACCTCGCAGGGCCAGAAAGGAGTAATATTGCTGAAATTTGATAGCCACAACCCAGAATAAGAAAGGTTGGAATACGTTTAGCCAAAATCCTGGTAATAAAACAATCCTCTCATACAGAAAAACCTATCAAAGGACAGTAGAACAAATCTACACAGAAGAGATTTGCACTACGTGCTAAGCTGCTTGCCATGCTAGAAGGTGCTATCATATTTGTTTAGAAATAAAAATCACATTTAGAAAACAAATATGTAATATTTCTAAACAAATTTAGAAATAACAATAACTGCTATCAGTGTACACTATCATCTCAATAACTATGAAAGCCAAAAAAGACTAAAAAATAGAAAAGCTCACCACTTCTTCATGTCTGCATTTTCTCACATTAATTCCATTAATCTGTTATCAAAAAGATAGAGAGAAAACTTACTCTACATTTCATAAGTATAGATTTCATTATACTTTTCTAGAAAACCATAAATTAATGAACTTGCTATTTTACTTACCTGTAGAATTGCATCTCCTATAAAGAGCAACCCTGAAAGTTCCGCTGAAAATAGAAAGCGCATTTTCACTCATTCTGTATAAAACATGATGTATTTATTGCACACAGACTTCTGTTTCATGTCATATTTTTCCATAGTCTTAGCCTTTTAAAAATAATAAAAAATAAATAAATAATACAACTTCTAAATAAATGACTTGCATTCTTTTTTCTTTAGCCCAAAATACCAACATATAAATGTTACTATGAAAGAGTCTATCCAGCTGAATTATAAGATTCTGAAACACCATCCATTAGTCTCTAGCATCTTTAATGCTCTTATGGTGAGCCCTGGCATATTGCTAGTACTTTTCTGAATAGGCAATGGCTGCAGAATCTAAGTCCTACTTGAGATTATTTCTCAAATGAAATTGAGAGATTATTTCTTACAAACTCTGAGGAAAAAGCAACACGGAGACATAAGATGTATTCATGAAGGACAGTTTTTAACTTGTAAGCTTTTACTAAACAAAGCTGAGGTCCTGCAATATTTGATAAGCTCAGTGAAGTATATATGCACTTTTTAAGTTGAAGAGCCATACACTTAGTATATTGTACAAAATCACCAGCAAAATTGAATTTGCTCTTAAAAACACTATATCCTATAAGCCATAAAGCAATTAACAAAATATATTTCCATGATTAGGATCCTTTACTCTTCCGTTGTGTTACAGAAACATAATGTAAATATACTTTATAAATACACAAGAAATATAACAGAAATTACTTAATTGTCTATAAAGAAAGACTAACCCCTAACATAAGTAGCAGAGGATAAGGAATTATTTAGCTATACTGTTCCAAAGGATCACAGAAGAGACTATCTAGAAAAGTCTGACATTTGACTTGATCCAACAGCTTTTGATTTAGTTACATGAGTAGTAGGACCAGCATCAATAGTCACATAAATTATACTCAAGTATGTATTTGAAGAACTAGTATTAGTAGATTAGGTGTAGTGAAGGATGCTTAAAACACTGGCAGATTGAAAACTTTTTTTCTTTTTTTTTTTAAAGAGATAAATGCAAATCTCTTTATTCTGCTTCAGACACTGAGCTTGCATGCACTAATTTTGGGGTTACCTGTATATGATTTAAACATCTTCTGGGTGGCACTGGTTGTAAGAATTGCATCAAGGGCCTCATAACTGTTTAGAGTCTAAAAAAGAGCTGGAAGGCCACTGGGCAGAGGGCAGAACCAAGCCTGCAAAGCTTTAAGGTACAGGCTCTAGGTTAAACAGCTTTTTCTGCATCCAAGATCCCTACCACATGGCAGAACACTTGCGTAGTCTCCTTTTATATAAGAAATGCCACTCAGAACTAGCTCTCTAAAAATCAGCAGTATTTTTATTGCAAGTAGTAATGGAGATTATATCTCAATTATGTGTTCAGATTAGAAAGAATGTGTAAGGCAGTATAACAAAAAATAGCGACAATAATAAAAGAAAATGGTGTGCACTTTTGTGTGCTCAGTTAAACTTAAGTCTGAGTTTCTTATTTTTCCTGCAGTGCTTGATAGCATTTTAATTGTTAGTAGAGGTAATATATGCCACATTATTACTTATTACATACTTATTTTTATATTGAAA